GTAGTGTGGCTTAGTGGAAAGGATGTGGATTTGGGGATCAGCTAGCTAGATGTAGGTTTAATCCTAGCTCTGCCATTTATTAGCTACTTGACTATAAAAAGTGGACAGGATTGTTGTGAGGATTAAATGAGATAAGATGTGCCAAAAAGCACCTGGCACATAATTAATCTTTGTTAAATGTTTCTTATCTTCCTCCTGATAGTGCAAAGTAGGAAACTTTTCAATTATATATACCTAATGAAAATCCATTTGGCTATATTATAGGGCTTTCCAAGTTCAAGTCATAGGAGTCTTCTTCAGGTTTATTATCAATCAAATATAGTGTATTGACTTGGAAAACCATGTATTGGGTTTCTGCATGTCTTCTGTATATTTGACTCCAGAGTACCAAGTTCAACAGATTATATAGAAGCAGCAGTGGCCTTTTATGATATCTGTAGCCTGTGGCTACACTGGTATTCTGTAGCTCCAGGAGGAGATTCCTATAGGACCAGAAGTGAAATCCAACACCAGGCTCCGGATTCCTTTAGCTGGCTGAACCTCAGAGCTCATTCTGGCAGCATTTCAAAGTAGATTGGAAGCCCTTGACTCAAACATGGTCAGCTACATTAGAATAGAACACCAGACTTGAGGGTGTGTGGAGTTAATCTCAGAGTACTTGTTTTGCCAGATGACTTGTAAAATTGATGAATACTTGCTTCTATTTCCTATGTCTGCCATGCTGTGAACATTGAGTCTGCTGTGCTGATATGTAGTCTAAAGCTATGTTTTGACTTGGGAAAACAGAGTTGAGGTTGGGATTGTGTAAGAGTGAAAACTAAGCTGCTTGTTTCTGTATCTTTTCCTTCCTGCCTGAAGGTAATGATGAGCAATATAGAAATATAGAAATCTTTTGCCATTTTAGTGTAGTGAAGAAAATCTTGTTCAGCACAAAATGTTGCACTTTGCTTGAATCTATTTAATGGTGTGACCATCAAGAATGGAGATTTCCTTTTTAAAGGCTGACTTTGGCTGTCTGGAAGATAGTGGGAAGGCTATATATCTGTATCTTGGTCAGTTATTTCTACAACAGAAAGCTTATGTAGTGGTAATATTAAGGAAGTTAGGTTCTAAAGTAGTTTCCCAGGTAGAGGAGGTGTTCCACTGTTATTTAGTGACCAATGGTTGATGATATGTAATCAGCATTTCTGAAGGATCATTCATTTGCCAAATATTTATTGAGTCCTGGTTAAGTACATGGTATTGCATTACATACTGAAGGAAAGAAAGATGAATATATTGGGGTCTCTGACCCTGAGGAGCTTAAAATCTGGTGGGGGAAGTAAGACATATTTGTAAGTAAATACAATACAGGGTATGCGAGTGATGAGGATAAAGAGACTAATTTTGAGAGGTGGAAGGCAATGGGGGGTGGATTTTTAGCTGGGTCTTTAAGGACAAGAATTTTGAGAGTTCAAGGATAGAGTTCATTAGAGGCAGAGGGAACAAAGCATGGAGCCATGAAGGTGTGTGGTTTATTTCTGAATATACTGAGTAATTCAGTGTGTCTGGAGTGTGGGTTTTATGTAGGTGTGTGATGGGAGATTAGCTTAAAAGGCATGTTGGGGACAAATTATGAGGGACTTTAAATGAAATGCTCATTTTGTTGTGGTGTGGTGGACACAGTGGTCTGTGTATAGTGGCTGTGTTGTACATAATATCATGGCCATATAGTCGACTGGTCCAGGGATGGGCACTGGCCCCAAACCAAAATAGTCAGAGTCCTTTTCTAGGATTTTTCAAACTTGCATGAAGAAAAGAAGTAAGACTGGCAGAGGGAGTCTTGGAGGTAATGCTTGGGGGTTCTCAGTGACCAAGCTATCTGCCTGTCGAGGACGTTGATGAACAGTAGGTGAGAGGGAGGGTGACCTAGTGAGTCACATGGGTGATAGTGGAGGGAAAAGATCCCGGCAGAGACTAAGTGCCAGGTTCTAGTCTTCTCCCAGGTGTAGCAGCATTTTTGCCTCTTTGAGGTGATATTAATTTCCCCAGGAGCCAGAAACCCCACTTGAACTGGCCTAGGCAAAAAGATGAATTTTTTGGATCATGACACCAAACAATGGGAAGAGCAGAATGCAGCTGGTCAGACTTAAAGGCCCATTCATTGTCCCTTTTCACTTGCCTCTGCCTGTCTCATCAAAGTAGTTTTAGTTTTTCAGAGGGGCTTTCCCCAGGAGGTTGGAAGCATGGCTTCCATTAGTTCCCAGCTCACATCTTCTAGCTTCAAGAGGCTCTGCTACATTTTCCTTGCTGCCAATTTGATAAATTCTAGGGAAGATCTCTGATTGGTCCAGTAAGGGTTGTATGTCAACCCACACAGGCCTGTGGGGGAGGAGGAGCTGTTTTCCATAAGAAGGGAGGAGGGATGCTATCCATAGTCAAGGGACAAAACAATAAAAGCCTTTAACATATGGGGAAGGCCCAACCTGGGTCCATGGCCTTGGGGCTGGAAAGGAAGGGCTGCGTTTGAGAAACATTGTCCCAGGGAGGTAGAATCTACTCTTAAGAATGCTAGAGGATGAGCAGATCTGGGAAGAGAAATAATGGGCTCCACTGGTCCACCGTTGGGATGCAGCTATCTTTAGAAATGTGGGAAACTTTGATAGCTGGGTGGTTTTTACAAGGGCTGAGTTTCCATTTGAGTCAGAAGTCTGGTGCTGTCACTGCTTTCCTCCTCAAAGCTTTCTGACCATTCTGTATTAGTGGTAATGGTATACTTTTCAGAGTTTCTGTTGTATGCGAGGCATTGTAGTAGGGCCTTTGTATATGCACGTCATGTAATTTAATCATTACAACACCCTGTGAAATGTATTATATGGAGGAAGGAAACTGAGGTAAAGGAGGATAAGAAGTTTGGCTCGAAAACAGGTCTGTTTGTTTTAAAAGAAGGATAGGCTCTTCCTAGTACATTGCATGCCTCTTGTCGATACTACTGCTAATAAAACCTGTACTCCTCTTAATAATGGCTAACAGTTACTGAGCTCTTACTCTGCGCTAGTTGTATCCTCAGTCCTCTGTGCTAGTTGTGCTGGTGTTATCCTCATCTTATATTTGGGAAAACTGAGGCCCTTGATCATGCAGCTAGTAGGTAAGGAAGCCAGCACTTGAATCCAGCTCTCTTAGTGCCGGGGCCAAATCTATAAGCACTACTTTCTGCTGCCTCTAGCTCCATGAGTAATGCTTATCTGATAGAGTTCCAAGTCAGCTGTTGCTACCGTGCTTCTCTGACAGTAATTTCCAACCTGGGAAAAGGATACAGTTGGTAGCAATGTTTCCTCCCATAATCTTCAGTGCTTTCTTTGCCTTAATCTCAAGGTTTGGGAGAAAGGAACAGCAATTCACTGCACAAACTGGTTGAGGTATCCTGTTCAAAGATACAATTAAAAGTGTGCTGGTGGTGACAAACAATAATGCCAACTTAATGGATGGGTTCTCAAAGTCGTTTTGGCTAAACATTTTATTTGCTCACTGATCATGTTCACTCTTTCACCAGAAGTTTCCTGTTCTGTTAAAATATAAAGATACAAAAAATTGCCTTTATTCTTAGAGAGCTTCACTTTGAGCTTATAATTGGTCTGGATGTGGTCTCTTTCAATAAATAGCAGGATAATGTCTCCAGGTCAGCACAGCGTTTGTTATTAACTATTTTAGTAAATTTACATTTGTTTAGCTTCTGTTAGTGAACAATATTATGATCCAGCAAATGACATGATTTATTTGTTAGGTGAATCCCTGATGTCTGTATACTAATATAAAGCCCTGTACTGCTGTGGCCTGCCTTGGTCTGTTGGTTCTCATATGTGGTATCCAGCTGTTTGTCAGGTTCTCCCTCCGTAATCCATGGAAATCCCAACTGTATTGCCACATGGGTTACCTGTTGGGTTCACTGTTTAAAAAAAAGTGAGAGTTGGAATGTTCCTCCTTATGTTTTCATTGAAAAGAGAAAAACTGCTGTGAAAAATTAAAATTACTATGAGTGTATACAGCTGGTATTCATTTTATGGGTTAATTTGAAAAGCTTTATATGCCCACTTCTAATGGAGTTTGGGTCAGATTACAATATAGTGCTCAGCATAAAAAAATTTTCACATTACGCTACTCTTTGATGTTCATTCATTCATTCTTCATTTACTCTACTTATTCAACAAGTATAAACAAATCCTCCTTCAGGGGATGGATAAGATGTGTCCCTTATAGTGGGAGGAATTTATTATCTAATAGAGCTGTTTACAGACTTCACTTTGCAGCCTGGATAAATTTAGTGAATGTGACTTACAATTTCCAAAGAGATTCAGGCTCTCAGAGTGTAGAATTGCTGAAATAAAGCATAGATTCCTGTGTAATCACCCCAGTATTTGGGGAAACCAATATTGTCTTGATTGGGAGGGTGGTAAGAGATATTAGAGCCAGCTGAAACTGTTAAGCATGCCTGACCATCTTGAGGTAAGAGGTTCTCTACAGTTGCCAGATATTATTTATAGAACTATTTTGACATTTAGTGAGAATCTGTAATATTTAGGGTCGGTGCAGAGAATTTCATTCTAAATAACTGTTCCAAACTTCATATCTGCGAATGCATATTATTTTCTGTGATTGCACGACTGTTCAAGTGTAAAGGAGAAGTATAAAACACAGGCTATCAAGTTGTTCAAAAGAAAATACTGGTGTGAATTATTGAATATGTACACCAGGCATAAATCTTTGATACAATGGGAATGTCTCCAGACAAAACAAGATGGAATCTCTGTTCCTAATTGTGACACAGTTCCTTGAAAAATACAGCTAGGTGCATAGAGATGAGGCTTTATGTACAATTTGCCTTTTTAGCAGCCCTCTCCGAAATCTAAGCCTTTGCGCTGGCCTGCGGAAGCTGACACCGAGCCCTAGCTGCAGGACCGGAAAACTTGCTGCCGGAACCTTTGTGCTGAAGTGCCTCGCCCCCCGGCCGGTGCTCATTTGCAAAGGACCGTCCCAGCCAAGTGCCTGTTGGTAGGAATCCGCTTGGCCTCGGGTCTGAGGGGGCTTGGAGGTGGCTGTAGCTGCGACTGAAGCAGGCATCCAGGAGAGTCCACAGGAAAGAAGGCGCCATGGACGATCAGGGCTGTCCCCGGTGTAAGACCACCAAATACCGGAACCCTTCGTTGAAGCTGATGGTGAATGTGTGTGGACACACTCTGTGAGTCGGGGGAGAGTGGGATTTATGGGGGGAAGACGCACAGGGTGGGAGCTCTCGAAAGAGCCGGGAGATGCTTGACCTCGGCTCAGGGGAGAAAAGGGCGTCGTTAGTTTCGACCCTGGGCAGGAAAATGGGAAAAGGGAACGTTGTTTCTGTAAACAGACTAGCCGCTAGCCCTGAGCCGCTCAGGCCTGGTTTGGACTGCAGGTTCCCTGATGTGGTAACCAGCAGTTTGTTAGGTTTCACCCTTCTTAGGTGATGAAAACCTCGACTGTATTTCCAGGCTGTGTTGTCAACAGGGTTCCAGACATCTCGCTGGTTAAAAGCGTGGGGATCGGAGTGTTTAAGTTCACGCAAAATGTTTTTATTAAAAAGAGCGAAAGTGCTATGAAAATAAAATTACTGTGTTTATATACTGCTGCTATTTATTGCGTTAGTTAATTTGAAACTCCGACGATATGCCCACTGTCCTGATGGAGTTTGGTTAGATTCTCATCTCTAAAAGAGAAAATTTAGATTTTAGGCAGTTAATTTTGGAGATAACAGTAATGGCTGGCATTTATTGAGTGCACATTACATGCCAGGCACTGTTCTAAGCTCTTTACCATGAGTTATCTTATTTCATTCTCACAACAGTCCCACGAAGTAGGTACTAGTATCATTTCCATTTCACAGGGAAGGAAACAGAGACTGCTCCACGTCTCTTATTTAGTGGGCCCTGCTAGAATTGGAACAGAGGCTGTCTGACTCTAGAACGCCAATTTTGGGGGGATAGGGGAAGAAGGGAGGTTGAACATTTTGAAGAGTAAGTGCAGGAACTGGTCAGAGTGTTTCTTGCCACGTTTTTATGGTCAAATGTGGTTCAGTAGAGGTGGTTTATATAAAGCACTTTGGGATGTAAGGTGAACATATATTCCTGTAGTTTATTTGAGGTTTCTTAGAGATAAAAAATGATGGATAATCTACAATGTGGTGGACAAGACCTTTGGGTAGGCATAAATTGCATGGTTAATTGTAGTTATAATGATTATAATGGGATTTAGTAACTTACTGGATTGGTCTCTTTTTCTAATTAATCTTTATTTTCCTTTGCTTCATCCAGCAAAGGAAATACAGTAGAGCTGTGATTGAATGCGTTAAGATTTAGAAATAAGGTGAAAATAATCAAGTAGATTGAAAAAGGGAAACGAGACAAACGCTGTGTAAAGACTATTAGGTTTTTAGAGAGATTTTGCTCAGCTTCTCTTCATTTTCCTGTATCAGATTTGTTACAGTTGGTGCTCAAGGAAAGGGAATTTGCTTTTTTGGAAGGATGCTAACTAAATGTAATTTACTGGAAGAAATTTCTACCTAGTAGTAATTAGCCAGTCAGGGAAGATTATGTGATTTTAGTAAAATAAATTGCGTTTTTATTAGACAATTATAAAATATTTATTTTTAATTAGAAATTGCTTTTGTCATATCCATAGTCTTTTCTGTTTTTCATAAGAGTTAAGAATTGTCTAAGTCATTCTCGTATTGCATTGATTTTGGTTTATTTGCTAACCTGTTAGATAAAGACCACATTTTACAGCCCTTTTTTGACTTGAAATATGAACAAACTGAATAAAAGATTATATGTTATTGGCTAAGAGAACAAACTTCTGATTTTGAATTCTTTGTACTCTTACAGGCTCTGTGGCTTTGGGCAAATTCCTAACTCCTTTTGCCTCGTTTTTCTTACCTGTACAATAGAGATAATAGCACCATATATATTACAGTGTTTGAGGATTAAACAATATATGTAAACATCATATTTGGAGGTGCTTAACAGTTTCTTTCACATAGTATTTGTTCAGTATACATTGGCTATCATATTATTTGTGCATGGTATGGATGTTAAGCAGAAATAAAATTTAAATAGGATCTGTTTGGCCTGCTATGAAAGACTTGCACAACAATGGTTATCTTTAAATAAATTTAAGAGACTATAAAATGTGAAAATATAATTTTAATTATAATGACCCTTTTGTGATGATTTTCTTAATATGAACTCGTTATCATGTTCTCTCATGGAAGTGGGATTATATATATCCTTACTTTTTTCATAATGTATATCTTGGGTATCTTTTCTAAATTGGTATGTACGTCTTCCTCTTTAACAGTTGGTTGATAGTCCACTGTTCAGTTATACTATAACTGATTTACCCAAAAGTTTTTTGATGAATCTTTAGATTTCCAGTTTTTCACTGGAACTTCTCTTTCTCTCTCTCTCTCTCTGAGTACTTATGCAAGTATATTGTAAGATAAACAGGCAAACGGGGGTAAATGTAAATGCCTAGTAGTAGAATTGTATGTGACTTGTAAATTTTGATGAACATTGCTCAGTTGTTATCAAAAAAGATTGTATTGATTGTGCTCCCAACAACTATTTATGGTAATTTTTGTTGCCAAACATCTTTGCTGATATTGGGCATTATTATTTTTTAAATCTTGCTCTTCTGATAGGTAATAAAACATTATGGATTTTGATGTGAAATACTTTTGATTTGATAGTATGTTGAATTTGTACAGAATGTATTTCATGGCATTGAACTTGGGCATTTTTATCATACAGTTGTTAGTCTGAAAGGAGCAGGTATTGTTGTTTAGCATTGCTATTTGCATTAGTTACCTATTGCTGTGTAATGAATTACCCCAAAACTTAGTACCTTAAAACAATAAATATTTATTATCTTACATAGTTTCTGAGGGTCAGGAGTATGAGAGTGGTTCAGCTGAGTGATTCTGGCTCAGTGTCTTTCATGAGGTTCGCTCAAGCTGTTGTCTGGGACTGGAGCAACTGTTTCCAAGGTCACTCATGTGGCTCTTGGTAGCTTCAGTTCGTCCCTGTGGACCCTCCATAGGACTGCTCATGACGTGGCTTTTCCCAGAATTAGTGATGAGAGAGAACCAGAAGCTGCAGAGCTTCTCATCATCTAATCAGAAAAGTCACGTTATCATTGCTTCTGCTGTACTTTATTTGTTAGCACTGAACAATCCTGTTACAAGGTGGGAGGGTGTTTATACACAAGAGTGTGAATACCATGAGACAAGGATTACAGGGCCACATGATTTTACTCACTTTATTTTGTGTGTCCTCAAGTAGCAAAGGCATTTTAGGAAGCAAGTGATAAAGTGAGTAGGAATAGTGCTTCACAAAAGATAAGAAGTGTAGGATTATGGAAAGATTATTTAGGAATACTATTTATGACAGAAAATACAGGAGCAGAAAGGAGAAAAGAGGTGAAACATTATGAAAATACTTTTCTCCCTTAACTGCTAGCTATTGAGGAAGTGTGTTCTCTTATGTATCAAATCTATCCAGCAAACACCCAAATGAATTGATTGCATGAACATCCAAAGAAGATTGGATTCTATTTTTGCTTTTTTTTTTCCAATTCAATGATGAACTTTGTCTTAATTACAGAAAAGGATAATTTTTTTTCTTTGTTTATCAGGGCCACCTATTTTAAGAAATGGGCCTTTCATAGTATTCTTTCATAGAATTCTGAAGGCATATTGAATTAGATGGAGCCAATTAAATCTAATTTTCATTTAACTGAAGTTTTTTTTTTTTTTTTTTTAAGGAAGCTGGGAAAACTTTATTTTTTCTTTGGAATACAGAAACTTTATTTTTTCTTTTTCTATTACCCAACATAGTTGGATAATATTTTTCAGATTGACACAAATTTAAAACTAAAGTCTTTAATAATTTAAGTTTTATCCCAACCATCGTTGGCAACACTTGTCTCTGGAAACTTTACCTATATTTGATTTTATTAAATCTCCTTTTTTCATTTTAAACACACATAAGACACAAAGTAGAATAAACAAAACACATCTTGATATATGTAAAAATCAATATTTTGCCGTACTTAAGGTTTGTCTTTCTCTCTTTTTTATCTTCTTTTCTCTGTCCCTCTGTCTCTCTTGCTCTCATTTACTGAGGTTTCTGAGTAGTTTGTTCTAAAAAGTTACCAGTCTGAATTTTTCTGATTGCATCTCTGTGGTATTAATATGTTCCTTTGTATTTTCTATAAATTACTAGTAATTTTAGAAGTTTATCAGATTAAAGTTCAATTTATTTATTGTTGGAAAGAATAATTCATAAGTGGTATTAATTCATTTGTTTAATATGCTGGGCTTATACAATACCTTTTTGTGAACTAGGAAACAATGGACAGAAAAATTAGAAAAAGGCACTCATTCTGGGTAGAAGAATTAGAAAAAGGGGACTTTACAGATATACTGTTGTTAATTTCTAATTTAATATTGTTGAAGTAAGAGAATGCACTTCGCTAAATTTCAGTCTTTTAAAATTTTCTGAAAACTTATTTATGGTCCAGCATATGGTCTGTCTTGGTGAGCAATCAGTGTAAATTTGAAAAAAATGTGTATTCTGTAGCTGTTGGGTATAGTGTATGTCAATTAGGTCAACTTGGTTGATAGTGTTACTCAGATCTTCTGCATCCATACTAATTTATCTTATCTACTCATTTTATCAATTACTCCAACTGGATTGTGGATTTGTCAGTTTCTCCTTTTAGTTCTGTCATGCTTTATGTATTTTGAAACTCTCTTATTAGGTACATAGATATTCAGAATTGCTATGACTTCTTGATGAATTTATCCTTTTGTCATTATGAAATGCTCCTTTTGGTCTTTTGTAATATGTCCTGAAGTTTTTGTCTGATATTACGTCATTCTCTTAATGCTTCCTGTTTGATAGTATACCTTTCTTTGTCCTTTTGCTTTCAACCAATGTGTGTCTTATATCTTGTAGACAGTACATAGTTGGTTTTGCTCTTTTATATGGTCCAACATTGCTGCCTTTTAATTGGTGTGTTAGTCCCTTTATATTTAATATAATTTTTGCTATCATTGGGTTTAAGTCTATTTGTTTTCCATTTGTCCTTTTTTTGCCTTATTTTGGATTAATTGGATAACTTAAAGTATTGGCCTATTAGCTCTTTATTGTT